TAGTAACACGTAGCATGACCATGCACACATCCACCACCAGCAGCAGCAACACAGACAGAACAGAAAGCGAACCTGGTACGCAGTTTACGAACGTGATGTCGTCAATAGCAATGTCGGAGTTAAACGAGACGCCACGCTTGCCCTCAAACACAACCTCGGACAAATAGCGCGGTCCAATATTGGCTGTTCCCTGCTTCCACGCGTTTCCTTGGTTACCGACGAGATGGAAGAGCTGCAGCGAGACAGGATGGACAAACAGACAGACAGAAAAGTGGACAACAGTAGGTATCCGAACGGCACAATACAAAACATGACCTTATACAGATGAATCTTAAAACGAAAATCCGGTGGGACAAACAAAGATTAAATGTCTCTACTTACGAGCTTCATGCAGAAAAGAAATCATCAGGCTTTTTGTTCCACCGGATTTTCGTTTGTACTAAGCACCGCACGCCGTGTGTTGAACACTGTGCCCGGTAGTCGAGGTTCTACAGACGAATCTTAAAATGAACTGGAATGTCAAACGCAGAGGGCCGGCCTACTCACGTTCTTGGAGCGTCCGTTGGGTGTCTTCACGTACATGTTGAGCACTGCCCCGCTGGCTGCTGTGGTGCTATACATGTGGTACCAGAAGTTGACCTGGCAGAACTGGCCGGTGCGGCCGATCGTCTTACTGACCAGCGTTGCGGTGTGAAGGTAGAAGAGACCGGACGCCTCGGTGTACATGTAATACCCTGCGACAGCATGGACACAACAGCAGCATGGCCACAACAACAGCATGGCCACAACAACAGCATGGACACAACAACAGCATGGCCACAACAACAGCATGGCCACAACAACAGGAACAACAACAAAAGCAGCAGCAACAGCAGCAGAAACAGCAGCAACAGCAGCAGCACCAGCAACAGGAGCAGCAGCAGAAACAGCAGCAGGAACAGCAGCAACAACAACAACAGCAGCAGCAGCGGCAGCAACAGCAACAGCAACGTCAGCAGGAACAACAACAGCAGGAGCAGCAGCAGCAGCAGCAGCCGCCGCAGGAGCAGCAGCGGAAGATATAGAGAGACAAAGAAAGAGAGAGAGAGCGAGAGAGAGAGATGGCGAGAGAAGTCATTCAATGAGCTCAAAATAATGAGGGCAGTTCTAGTCTCCCCTCCACTCTCTCTCTCTCTCTCTCTCTCTCTCTCTCTCTCTCTCTCTCTCTCTCTCTCTCTCTCTCTCTCTCTCTTTCTTGACATGTTTCCGACCCTGTGTCTATCGAACACCAACAAGACTAAGACATACCGTCATTGCGTCACTAGAGTCCGAAAACTGAGAAATTCATTCTCCCTAGATCAAGTCCCACCCTTAATCTACCTTCCCCCCCCCCCATTCTGGCCCCTTGCTCGACCTGGTCAGATGACATACCTGTACCACCACCCCCCCCCCCCTTCTGCCCCCTTGCTCGACCAGGTCAGATGACATACCTGCACCACCCCCTCTGCCCCATTCTGCCCCCCATCCCCTTGCCCCTTGCCCGACCGGACCCGACCTGGTCTAATGACGTACCTGCACCGGTTCCGGTGGTGTGGTCGGAGGACGGTCCGGTACCGCCGGAGGGAGTGCGGCCGCGACGACGGGTCCAGTCGAACACGTCCTGTACGCCGTTCTGCCAGTTGCACTGGTTGGTGTCGAAAGTGCAGTTGCTGGCTGTGAACGCCAACACACACACACATACACAACGACGACGACGACAACGACAGCGTCAGCAAATCTATACTGCCAATCCACAAAACATCCACCAATCACCAAGATTTTCACCACCTGCTCAGTTGAAGAGTGCTCTGTTGCCATGGAAAAAGAAAATGGCTGAATTTTTTTACACACACGCATGCATGCACAGACATACATGCGCACATATGTACGCACGCACACGCATGCGCTCGCACGCACAAACTCCACACGACTTACTGCAGCCGAGCTCGTCCGAGCCGGACGGGCAATCCTGGATGAAATCGCACACGCGCGGCGCAGGGATGCAGGCTTTGGTAGTCGCGCACTGATGGCCTCCGAACGGGCAGGCCGGTGGAGCTGCAAACGAACAAATATGGATAAAGAGAGGACAATCAAGGACCAAATATGGATACAGAGAGGACAATCAAGGACCAAATATGGATACAGAGAGGACAATCAAGGACCAAATATGGATACAGGTCTACCCTCGTTAGGGCGACAGAGGTTACAAGACACACCTCATTACAATAGCAGACGATCTAAAATTCCCTGAGGCTTGAAGCGCGTACGTTCACGTCCGGATAGTAGATACTATTCGATATACACAGGCAAAGAATTTGAAACCGCTGGCGTTGTCCACTAACGAGGGCAGACCGGTAGACCGGTAGACCGGCCATCATCCGGGAACAAATATGGTCGTGGAATAATATAGGAGCAAATAGGAAAAGAAAGTCCATCGCAATGCTGGGTCCCTGTCCTAGTAGCATTAACCCCGTGCTGAAAATAAATCGCTGCCGAAATGTGGAAAATCGTGAAGCGCCGAAATTTTCCAGAGCGAGAAATTTTGTACATTTTCAGTATAGAGCCGACGCACAGCCATTGCAATGCATGCATGCAAAGTGACTCAAACAGGCCAAGGAGTGGCATGTGGCAGACACATGGGTCCTGGTGGTAACCACGACGACAGGGGCACTTACGAACTGTGGGGCATTTGCCGAGGCTTGCAATAACGTCATCGATGGCCGCATCACCAGCATATCCACCGGCGAACGTGTACTCGAACGCGATGTTGAACTGATCGCTGACGGTGATGGTCTGGCTGGCGGCGTTGTACCATACGTTTCCTGACGGAGGCAGACATACACACACACACACACACACACACACACACACACATATAAACAAACACACACACGAAGCGCACGGTTAGCAAGCCAAGGCTAGACTGACGGGCATAGCAACCTCTCAATAGCACTCCCCACATTATACAAGATACGGGTACAAGATACAGTGGTCAAGACTTTCAACTACACTGAAATCAGATTGCACACCAGCCCTTGGCATATCAAGGTACCGTATTTCCCCGAGTATAAACTGCACTCATTATTTTTTCAAATTCTGGTTCATGCCGTGCTGAAAATCCGGTAATAGAGAGTTTACATTTCACTTTTTTTTTTAAATTTCGAAAGTGAGATCTCACGTCCAAAATAGCACCGCTCGCGGTGCAACGCGACAGAGGGCCAACTCACGGTGAGAAAAAGCGATTCAACGCACGTTTTTTTATCACGTTCGACATTGGAAAAGAACGTGAAGCGTAACTCTCTATCAGAGGGTTAAGTGTGGCTTATACTCCAGAAAATACGGTAACGCACATGGGCAAGTCAGATCGATGCACAGACAAAAAAGACCTTTCACACACACACACACACACACACACACACACACACACACACACACACACACACACACACACACACACACACACACACACACACACACACACACACACACACACACACACACACACACACACACACACACACACACACACACACACACACACACACACACACACACACACACACACACACACGGACCAACCTTGGTTGCCGCTGGTGTGGTACAGCGTCTGCATGACGGTGCCGTTGGAGTAGCGCAGCTGCGCGCGCAGGTGACCGATGTTCTCACCGTACATGTTGTACCAGAAGCCGAAGCAGTAAGTGCCGGCGCTCATGTCGGGCGTGGCGATGATAGCCTGCTGGCCGGCCAGTGTTCCAGACGCTTCCACGTGAATGTAACCGCCTGCAAACGAGAAATCCAGCGGAACAAAAAAATACACACATCTCAAGAACTCAGATGGTGAGCCAAGGAAAAAATTGTAACATGGAAAAATGTCTGAGCGTTCTAAATCCTCCTGACACACACACACACACACACACACACACACAACATCTGAACAACTCACGTCCTGCTCCGGGCGTATGGTCAGCAGTGGGGCCAGTGAAACCACTGGGAGTGCCCGTGGTACGTCTGAACCAGGGTCGCAGTGCAGTGGTTGCACGCCATGGGTTAACGTAGTTGCAGAGACCGACGTCAAAGTTGCAACTGGCGTCCGTGTTCGAGTACGGTGGCAGCGCAGCTGTGCACGCAAGGCACGTGCACACACGCGCATACACACACACACACGAACAAATAGTACATCAACAATAGCAGGTAAGAAAGGGGAGAGGTAGCAGAGAGATAACACAGGTCACTGAAAACCCCCAAGTGGCAATATGGGACTGGTGAGAAAGAGAGATTTGTGGGAGAAATTTGTCCGTACTGAGACACCCCCCCCCCTCCACATCAGGAAACTCTGCATGCTCTGCAAGACTGCCGATTGGCTGCGTCCATGGCAACAGTCAGATGACGAGTGCACTCGTGGACACACACAAATACATAACATAGTTAAATGGCAGCAGAACACGACACAACACAACGCAACGCAACGCAACGCAACGCAACGCAACGCAACGCACCGCACCGCACCGCAACACAACACAACACAACACAACACAACACAACACAACACAACACAACACAACACAACACAACACAACACAACACAACACAAAACAAAACACAACACAACACAACACAACACAACACAACACAACACAACACAACACAACACAACACAAAACAACACAACACAACACAACACAACACAACACAACACAACACAACACAACACAACACAACACAACACAACACAACACAACACAACACAACACAACACAACACAACACAACACAACACAACACAGGCACAGGACGTACTTGCACAACCACAGTCGTCGGTGAAGGAGATATCGTCAATAGCAATGTCGCCGGCAAAGCCAGTACCCCGAATGGCAACGAACATCACCTGCAGAATAACAACAACAACAACAACAACAACAACAACAACAACAACAACAACAACAACAACAACAACAACAACAACAACAACAACAACAACAACAACAACAACAACAACAACAACAACAACAACAACAACAACAACAACAACAACAACAACAACAACAACAACAACAACAACAACAACACACACACACACACAAGAAAGTGGACACTCTTTAACACGCACACATGAACGCACGCACACACACAAGCAAGCACACATCAACACATGACCGCATGGCCGCATGACCGCATGAACACACACACACACACACACACACACACACACACACACACACACAAGGCTCAGGCCTCAGACATGCCCATCGCGGAAGTGATGATAGCGAACAGCTACGTCAGACATAGCAACTTGTGCTGGGATTACACCATTCAACAGCTTGCAAGGCTGATGAATTGACCGCCACTATTTTTAGCCTGGTATCCACCACACAGCTGTTTGAAGTGACTTTTTCTGGCCAGTGAATCCCTATTTTTCATTTTTCCATTTTTTTCTACACACACACCACACCACATACTCCAGCATACACTGGCTGTTGGTAACCACCCAGGAGAATGAAAGAAAAGTCACACACACACACACACACACACACACACACACACACACACACGCACAGGCATGCACACACACATGCACACGCCCACAAACACACACGCACGCACACAAACCCAGACCAAGACCCAGCCCCCCCCCCCCCACACACACACAAACAAGACCCTGCAACAAACATACCTGGAAGTCATAGTTGTAGGTTCCCTGCGGCAACGGGATTTCTCCCAGCTTCCAGCCTTGACCTTGGTTGCCGGATTTCGTCCATGCAGTAATGTTAGCCCCTGAGACGACCGACAACGACAGAGAACACGGAGTGGAATCGAATGTTCGCTATACCGTCTCTGCACATGCTGCCCGTACGCAGTGAACTAAAGTGCTGGCGACGGAAATCAGACCCCTGGAGCGGTGCGCTCACATTGCTAACACCCAGCATGGGATTGTAACACTACAAACATAGAGATTAGTTACCATAACTACACAAAGGTCGTTGACGCTGCACATTTCTGCACTCGCACCACCATCACCACAGCGAGGACAATTCCGGCATACAATTTGCAGAGTCAACGACCTTCGTGCAGTGGTGTTGACTGATCATAATATGAATTGGCTGCAGTGGAGCCTCTGTGTTCTAAAAAAACAAAAAAATAGAGACCGCTAGAATTGGTGCTGCACTCGAACGCGAAAATCAGGCCCAGAGGGTCGGGTTTCAGCTGCTATCACTGTAGGTTAACCAGCAATGAGTACTTAAGGAGCAACTCGGTGTACTAGAGAGTCTTCACAGTCGATGTCTCTTTGGCACTTTCAAATCTGTATTTTCGCGACGACCAGTAGTGGCCAATAAGAGATGGAAGCGTGCAAGAGAGAGTTGTCCTGGCTAGTGTAGAGGCAGTGGCGGTGATAATGGCTATCGGGCCAGGTGTGTGCGCGTGTGTGTGTGTGCGCGCGCGTGTGCGTACGTGTGTTCATGTGAGCGTGTGTGTGCACGCGTGTGTACATGCTGAAAACCACTTACGTGTTCTGGAGTTCATGATGTTGACGATCAGAGTGCCAATGGTGCCACCATACATGTTGTACCAGAATCGCAGATAGCAGCTGGGGCCCTTGGGTTTAGCGTAGTAATACTGAGATTGGAGAATTGCCTTGTCACCTGTCGAGGTGGGAGAGCTAGCCTCAATGTACAAGTAGGTGCCTGGAGGTGGAAAAAAAATGGGTCAGCAAAGTGTGTGTGTGTGTGTGTGTGTGTGTGTGTGTGTGTGTGTGCATGTGTGTGTGTGTGTGTGTGTGTGTGTGTGTGTGTGTGTGTGTGTGTGTGTGTGTGTGTGTGTGCGTGTGTATGTGCATGCGTGCCTGTGTGTGTACGTGCATAAGCTTGTACATAAAAGTGCGGTACGCCAACTCTTTGATCTCGCAAGGCAACCACAGACACACACTGATACGTTCACATGCACGAAAATATACGAGCAACCCCCCCCCCCCCCCCAACACACACCCATGCCCACAACCACACCCACACCCACACACATACAAAGTGACTTGGACTGCTTACCCTGAGTTGTTCCAAGAGTATGGTCATTGGTCGGCCCGGTTGACCCACTCGGAGTGGATCCACGTCGAATGTTCCACGGGATGTCGCCGTTCGATGCAACTACAAACGGATACATACCATTCTCGAAGCTCTGTCCGTTTCGTCCATATGGACACTGGGTGTCTGTGTGCAACAACAGCGATGAAGACAAGACAGAGAAAGAGAGGGAAAGAGAAAGGGAAAGAGAGAGAGAGAGAGAAGTGAAAAAAATTGCAGGAAAACAGTCCACACACTTTGCAATGGATATCTGGGCAGACCCCAGAAGAAGCATTCGTTGGTAAACATTGACGAACAAGCTATTGACTTCATAAACTGCATCAAGTGAACGGCAACCAGGCAAGAAAGGAAGTGAGCGGTGCACCAAGCTAACAACCAGATAACTCCAGCACTGTTGGGAAATCCAGGAGTCAGACTTGTCTGGTGGTTTGGTTAGCTATGCACTGTATAAGTAGTCAATCTGCGGACAGAACTGTTTCGTCCTTTGTGGACTCGTCAGCTCAGCACAAAGGAAATGAGGCCGAACCTGACAGCAATGGAAATAAACATTTCCAATCAGGCCCGAACGTACCTTGCCAGAGTGCTCAAACTGACAAGCATAGATAAGTACAAATTTTCGTTCGGAACGAGAGAGCTTGGAAGCTCAGGGCCCTACGCTATGTTTTTTTGCCTTGATGACCTAGACAAAAAGGGCATAGGGATGTTATAAATTTTCTTATAAATTTTCTCCTATTTTTTTCTCCAGACATAGCCTGGAATTCGAACCCGCACTATCGCCCTGCATGCATCCCCCGATACACTTCGCATACATACTAATTCTTCCAAGTTGCTTCACGTTATGATCTTGCATTTCAAAGCCCTATTTGAATATTGTGGCCAGCCGTCTTTGATGGTACGGTACAGTACGGGGCAGGTACGGTCAAGGGTAATACGACACCGTCAACCGCCTTGATGACCTAGGCAAAAAAAAGCATGAGGATGATATAAATTTTTCAATTCTCCTATTTTTTCAAAGGCATAACCTGGGATTCGAACCCGCACTATCGCCCTACATGCATTCCCCGATACACTTCGCATTCATACTCATTCTTCCAAGTTGCTTCACGTTATCATCTTGCGTTTGAAAGCCCTATTCGAATGTTGTGGCCAGCTGTTTGTGGCCAGCTGTCTTTGATGGTACGGTACGGTACGGGACACAGACGGGATAGCGCCAGGCGTGACACAAACAAACAAACACCAAATTAAAGCTGTGTGGACCCTGGCTAGCGCCAGACGTTACTGAAGTAACGTCTTCTGCATAGCTACGGGAAATAAAATTAACTTTCGCTATATTCGTTAGGGGGCACGAGATAACTCAAGTTTGCACCAAACTAAGGTTTTTTTCTGAAAAGTTCGGGGTGACAGACCTCGCCCAAAAAGCGAAATTTAGTACGTAACAAGCCTGCTGGTGGAGTGATTTAACGAAAAAAGATTTCGTGAACGAAAATTTGTACTTATACGGTATTCCTCGGCTCGAGAAATTGGCACGGTAACTCATTAAGCACTGTCATGTTGCCAAGGTAACTACACTTTGTGTGCCAAATCTCACCGCAGTTCTGCTCGTCGGAGTTGTCGCCGAGGCAGTCGACGTTGTAGTCGCAGCGGCGTTTCTTGTCAATGCAGTTGTACTTGCAGGCGAACTGTGTCGAGGTGCACGTGACGTTGGCGAGACAGCCGCAGGCCGATGTGTAGCTGATGTCGTCGATGGCAATGTCCCCAGTGAAGCTGGTGCCGCGGGTGGCGCGGAAGTCAAGCTGCAGACAGGAACACGTGCACATGCACACAAATTGATATGGACACGCACACACACGTGCACTTGCGCACACAAATACACACACACACACACACACACACACACACACACATGCATGCCATGTTGGTTCCAGCTCCACTCGACCCCCTGCATCTCGTACGGGTCACATGACGTCGGCCATGTTGGCGACACTGTCCACATGACATGATCACTTTCTACACCAAGTTTAGTCACATGCCCAAGATACCAAGTTTAGTCACATGACCAAGATACCAAGTTTAGTCACATTACCAAGATACCAAGTTTAGTCACATGACCAAGATACCAAGTTTAGTCACATGACCAACATACCAAGTTTAGTCACATGACCAAGATATGTATCCATAGTAACTGTCTACCCTCGTTAGTATGGCGTCGGTTACAAGACAAATCTCATTAGTAGACAACGATACAAAATCCCCTGACGCCTGAAACATGTACACACAAGTCTGGATACTAGTAGATAATACTCGTTATAAGACTCAAATTTTGAACCCCCCACCCCACCCTCCCCCGGGTTGTCTGCTAACGAGGGTAGACCACTATAATAATATAAATATATTATTATAGTGGTCTAGACATTGGTCATGGGAAACGTAACACTTACCCGGAAAGTTGTTGTGAGAGAGATTGCGACCTGTGCAAACTTCCAGCCTTGTCCCTGGTTGCCCGACAATGTCCATAGCTGAGTGGCCTTGTTGGCTTTGTCCACTGCCGTCACCTACAAACAAGTAACGAACACATAGTTGCACATGCATGAGAGAGAGAGTGAGTGAGTGAGTGAGTGAGTGAGTGAGAGAGAGAGAGATAGTGTGTGTGTGTGTGTGTGTGTGTGTGTTTCCGCGATGGGCACGTCTGAGGTCTGATGTGTGTGTGTGTGTGTGTGTGTGTGTGTGTGTGTGTGTGTGTGTGTGTGTGTGTGCGTGCGTGCGTGCGAGGGTGCGTGTGAGATAGAATAAGTTCATGTGACTGGTTTCCATGAAAACTACCAACACACACACACACACACACACAAGTGCCTTGTCATGTGACCTGTCTCATGTGACTGGTTTCCATGACAACTACCAACACATACACAC